TCTGAGGTAGTTTGTAGGTGAGAATTCCATGAAAGATTTTCTGTGATGGTGATTCCAGAAATTTGGTAGACAGGGTGCGGCTTATAGGAACACCATTAACTAATAGGTTTAGGTTATGAGCTTGGTTGGTGAGTATTTTTGGGCCAAAAATAATGTATGCACATTTCGAATAATTTATGATAAGTTTGTTATTGGATAACCAGTTAGAGTATTTTTGGAGTTCAAGATTGATATGTTCAGAGCAATCTGGTAGGTTGTTGGAAGTAAAAAGAAGGTTGGTGTCGTCTGCGAACAGTACGCATTTGGTTGAGGGCGAAACATTGCAGAGGTATGGATCCTTGTGGCACCCCGTGATGAATAAGAGCGTGCTTTGAATTGATGTTGTCCATGGAAACATATTGTGTCCGTGATGAAAGATAGCTTCTCATCCAGTTGTGAGCTGTGCCTCTTACTCCGTAATGATGTAGTTTGGATAGGAGTATTTTGTGATCGATGACATCGAAGGCTTTGGATAAGTCCAGGAAAATGCCAATAGAAAGATTTTTGTTATTCATTTCATTTAGTATATGCTGAGTGAAGTCAAGAATAGCAAGCTCAGTTGAGTGGTTGGGTTTGAATCCGTATTGGTTATTGCAGATAGTATTGTTGGAGCAGAAGAAATTAGAGAGTCTTTTAAAGAAAAGTTTTTCAAGAATTTTAGACAGCGGGGAAAGAATGGAAATGGGTCTGTAGTTGTTAATGTCATCTTTGTTTCCTTTCTTGAATACTGGTATGATTTTGGCTATTTTAAATGAGTCAGGAAAGATTCCAGTGCTTAGTGATAAGTTGAAGATATGATTAAGTGGTGATATGATAGAGGAAATTATACTTTTAATAAGGAACATGTTGAGTCCATCGTCTGCATAGCTCTTTTTGTTTTTCAAGATATTAACAGTAGTTAATATTTCTTGTTCAGTAACAGGATATAGACAAATGGAATGGGGTGTGGATGGGCTCATAAAATCTGTAGGATTACCATAGCAGGGAGGTTGGTTTGAGAGTAGTTGACTAGCGATGTTTGCAAAGTGGGTGTTGAGAAGGTCACATATTTCTTGTTTATTTTCAATTGCTTGGTTGTTGATAGTTAGTTTGGTGATTGATGAGTTAGGAGGTTGCTTGTTTAGAATTTCTTTGATAGTGTTCCAACATTGTTATGTGCGTCTTCAAGTTTGTTAGAGAAGTAGTCTCGTTCAGTTTTTCGTTTAATAGATGTGAACATGTTTCTGAAGCTTTTGTAGGTGGCAATGTTGCGGGTGGTTGGATATTTAAGGCTTATGATGTATAGTTTGTTTTTCTTTTTTGCAAGACTTAGAATGTTGTCATTGATCTAGCATTTTTGTTTTTGAACGGGACGGAGGGGGGCAAAAGTGTCTAGAGAGTGAGTTAATATATATATATATTTACATAACATTATATATATATATATATATATATATATATATATATAATGTTTTTATGTTGTTATAGTTATACAGTAATATATGTGTGGATATATATATATATATATATATATATATATATATACATACATACATACATAATTATATAGTCTTTATTATTGCAGCTCTGACATACGCAGAACCACTTATTGATACAATGCTACAGATATATTATCTATATATCTTTTATTATCTTCTTCGTATCTTCATCCATTGATTTGAAGCAGCCATCTCTGCCACAAAGGCTGTTTATCTTTTTCACACGACGTACACATGTATTTATGTGCACGCGCAAGCACCGCATCATATACGCTGAGTATATGATAGCCATTGAGATGTTTGACTCAGCAAGCATTTGAACCACTGAGCCATCTCGCCGGCCAACATGCGACAACTTACGTTGTCTACCCATTTACCAGCCCCGGATGAATCTGTCAAAACTGCAGGATTCGAACCCGGGTTGTAGGAGTGGTAGACGGACACGCTAACCACTCGGCCACGAGAACCAATATATATATAATATATATATAGATGTAAAAATATAATATATATATATATTATATATATATTATATTTTTATATCTATATCTATCTATATATATATTATAAGCTATCATTTTTAATTTTTTGTTACTTTAATTTTTTACACTAATTTTTTATTTTTTTCATCATTTTTTTCAACATTTTTGTAGTATATTATTTTATATACCTTAATTTTCTTTAATTTATCATATTGTTTATAATTAATTCTTTTTTCATTAATTTATATATTTATTTTATACTACATAAAATTATAATTATCTATCATTATTATTAGTTTTGGACAGACAGTATTTTTATATATATATAGAATAAACCAGCTGTATTTTGCGGATAAACAAACATTAAAAAGTTAGTAGAATATAGTTTCAAGCGACAAATTATTATATCAAGAATATGATTTGTTTTTCTAAGTGTATGTTCAACATCTTCACGCAAATTTTTTTTTTATCTTTACAATAAATTTTGTGTAACCATCTTGACGATCGTTGTTTGTTATCCTCGTTTCTTTTTTTGTTGCTTCAATCGGGTTCTACAAAATTTCGTATTAAACTTATAATTATAACGCTTTAACAGTATCAACTGTTTGTTTAATTTGATTGAAAAGACATCTAATCGCTTTAGTGCGATGGATTGTGAAGCATTTGTGCCACCACCTGAAGCCCCTGTTTATGAACCAACTGATGAGGAATTCAAAGACCCCATAACCTACATAGCCAGCATCCGACCAGTTGCAGAAAAGTTTGGCATTTGCAGAATTAAGCCGCCTTCAGTTAGTAATCAACATTTTTTTAATTCTAAATTATAGTTTTCTCAGAAAAATAACAAGACCAAATAGCTTTTATTTTTGAATGGCTTTTTATTTTTAGTTTTTTTTAACAATGAAAAGAAAAGGTTTTTTAATTTTTATTATTTATTTAGTAATTATATTATATTATTTATATAATATTATATTATTTATTTATTTAATTTTAAATCAATTTCATTTAAACATAATTAATTGAAAATGTTGTTAGCATAACGACGATAACGTGGAATGATACTATAATAATAATAGCTAATAATAAGCTTAATTTTAAAATTAAGCAAAGCAAGTTTGTTTATTTATGTATTTAATGTAATTTGTAAACATGAGGTGGCAGCATTATTTTATTTTGTCAAGTGAGCGATATATACACTTACCTAAGATTTGATTATTTTACATGGACAAACATTTACTGAGGCTTTAGCAATCTTTTAAAGCTTCAGTGACAGTATTTATTGCAGATGGAAATTTATCCTATTTGTAATCCTATATCATATAGTATAATGACAATAATGGCATTATGTATAAAGGCTATTGTTGGAAATAGAGACATGTCACTCAGAAAGAAAGAATGATTCTTCTCTTCATATATGTCAGTTCCAAGCCTGGGTAGTGGGCGAAGTGAGTTGGAGTAAAGGTAGGATCTTTACCTGACAACAAGTTTAAGTTTATGAAATTCTAAACCTAATATGAATATGAACAAAAAATAAAAATCATATGGGATTTTCCGAATCAGTCGAGTATTGGGAGATCTATATGGCTGGAGTGAGAAGACTCAGGTCACACAGGTTGACATCAAATGAATTCCTCAGGGGCATTATGATGTCAACAGGGCTTGTGACCCTTTCAGGAGTAGGGCAAGCAATGCATATAGTCTGTGCCGAGATTCTGTTGTAGCACAATACATTAACATGCAGAACCCACAGAAAGAAAAGTATGTCAGTGTGAAACTTTGCTCTTGGAATGTAAGTTGTCTGGAAAGAGCATAATGGCTACTGAAGCATTATTGAGGTAAAGAGTAGGTATTTGCAGTTTACAAGTTGGGGGAGGAATAAAGTGGCCAGAATAATAAAGGAAAGAGTAAATTATTTTCGTCAGGAAATAGTAAAGCTGGGACAGGAATGGGAATAGTAATAAGTAAACCTTGGATAAATAAAGAGCAGCAACAGGAGCATGATGGCAAAACTATCAACTGGAGAGGGGTTATTAAATGTAACTTCAGAAAATGCTCTGGAAAACAGTAAAAAAGAGGAGGATAAAGATAGATTTTAGGATGAGTTAAATGAAATGATGACTGGGACGCCCGAAAAAGAAATGGTGGTTTCAGGAGGGGACTTAAATAGACATATTGGAAATGAATGTAATAATTATAATTAAGTGCATGGTAGAAATGGGTATGGAAAAAGAAACGAAGATGATGTAAGAATTTTAGGTTTTGGAATCGCCTGGAGCATGAGGAAACCATGCTATTTAATATCGTATGAATCAGGGGAAGTTAAAAGCACATTAGATTTCAGTTTGACAATTTCACAAGAGAAAGCCACAGGTGCTTTTAAAATATTAGAGCATTTTGTAATGAAGAATGTGTTAAGCAGCATAAGTTCTTAGCATTTGATTTTATGCTAAGATGGAAAAAAAAGACAAAAATGATTACAGAGCCCAGAATTAAAACTTGGAAATTGAGAAAACTAGAAACCATGAGAGCATATCACAATATGATTTGAACGTTGGGGTACCATTGATAATGATCTGGGTGTAGAGAAATCATGGGTGGAAAGAAAAATAATATGCTGAATGCAGCTGAATTGAGAGTGTCAGGTAAGGAGGAGCCAGCACAACGTAATGAAACATGATGGTGGAATGAAATGGTTTAAAGGACAATAAGAGATAAAAAAAAAGGATATAGGAAATGGATAATATTAAAAAAATAAAGAAGATCATAGGGTCTATCAGACTTTAAAACAGAAGGCAAAGGTGAAAGTAGTGGTAGCAAAATGAAAGTACTGCAGACTTATCAGAATAGCTGAGTACAGAGGATGGTAAGAACGCCTTTTACCGCATGGCTAAGTCAGAAAATTGAGAAAGGCAGGATGTTGTTAGAGTAAATTGCATGAAGGATAGCAAAGGTGTCATTGTTGTACATCCAGAGGGGAGAGAGAAATAGTGGAGGGAGTATATGGAAAAATTTTTAAAAGAGGAAAATTAATGGGATGGGGATATTGTCTCAAATATAAATGTCACAGGGTTCAGTTTATAAAGGAAGCGGGTGTTGAGTGGGCACTAGGAAAAATGAAGACTAGAAAAGCTGCAGGTAACAGAAAGTAGTAAAGTAAAGTAGTAACAGAAATATTGAAAGCAACAGGTGATTGGGGAATTGAGAGACTGGCTGGTTTGTTCAATATAATAATAAGGGGGAGGGGGGGGGGGAATTCCAGAAGACTGGGGATCTCTCAGATCAATGAAAACGATTAGTAGGGAGATTAGAATTGGGTTGCCATGGAAGATTTGATAAGCTGATGACCTGATTCTTATTATGGAGAGTGAGAAAGAACTGAAAGATAAGCTCTCCGTGTAGAAAATATTTATGGAAAGAAAGGGTTTAAAGGTAAATTTTGGTAAGACCAAAGTTATATGGAACGAAGAGGAGTCAAATACACTTGAAAATTTCCCTGTGCCATGTGTGGTAAAGGAGTCAAAGGTAATTCCATACTATCTGTAAAATGTGATATATGGATGCACAATTGATGCAAAATGATTATATTAGGCACCCGGGAAATTTGGGAGTTGAAAAAGTGGCATCCTTTTTCTTATCTAGGTGACATACTAACCTATGAAGGTGGATCAGATAGAGTGGTCAAGAATAGAATAAAAGTAGGATGGGAAAACTTCTGAAAAATTACTTCAGTTTTGTGCTCTAGGGGTATACCATTGGGCTTGAAGGGTAAGGTATATAAACTATGTCTAAGAAGTTTCCTGCTGTATGGGTGCAAAACTTTGGCTATGACGGTTGAAAACTTAAAAAGGCTGGAGAGATCAGAAATGCAGATGTTGTGAAGAATAATGAGAGTATCCTTGAGGAATGGTCTAAGTAATGATGTAATAAAGAAAGGGTTAGGGATAGATGAGTTGTCAGATGTAAGACTGAGATGGTTCAGTCATGTGGAAAGGAAAACAAATGGGGACTGGGTAAAGAAATGTAGAACTATTTATTATAACTGGCAGTTTAAGGTAAAGTAGTAGACCCAAGCTCACCTGGGAAGAAGTGTTGTTAAAGGACATGAGGGCACTGGGCACGAAATGGCCCAGAATAGTGAAGAAAGGAAAAGACAGTTAAATGTGCATGATCATGCGACAAATCCAACCTGTAGCTTTCGTCAACAAACTCTGGAACAAACACTGGGTGGTTCTGCCTCCTAGGCTTGAGTTGATAAGTAGATAAATATTTCCATTTTTAGTTATTATATATTTTTAAAAAAATACTTTTTATTTTGTTGTGGTTTTCATCAGATGGTGCATGTTCAGCACATCTTTCCTTTCACTAATTATTTTTTGGTAATACAATTTTACATGTTGTTTGCTATGAATTTTCTTTTTCTGTTTTACCTCAATATTTTTTTAAATTTTAGTCATTTTATATTTTACTTCCCTATCTTTGTAAGTTGTGTATATTTTTTTGTGACATATTTTGAATATTTCCATCTTTCAAAGCTAATCTTTTTTGCTTTTATCTGCTCTCTTCTCTTTCCCATCCAGACACTACTGATTTATATTCATTTGTAGTTTTTAAATCTCAGACCATCAACTGTTTCCAGAGGTGGGATCAGATTTTTCTCATCCACTATTTATTTAAATTCTCACACCTACCATTATATTATCCTTTTAATATTTTTTGTCTGAATTTGTTCTACTCCTCAGGTACTCAAAAAGAAATTGAATTTTTGTCTTTTTCACACATTCGCTTGCAATCTTAATGGCATTCCTTCAATCTCTTTATTAGTTGTAATTTTAGATTTGAACAAGTGTGACTTGTTTATATTTTTATCTATTAAACTTGTTCTTCAATTTCTTAAACCATTTATTACAAATTTTTGTTTTATATTAGTTCTATATGTTAGATTCTTTAATCATCCTCTTTTCCATTATTCATGCAAAATATTAATCATTTTATTTTATTATGAGATTTTTATCTTGTATACTTTTTACACTATCCCAGAACCTGTGCTTCTTTTCAAACTGTTATCTTGCCAGTGCATACCCCTTCACAACCCTCTTCACTTCTTTTCTTCCCTCTTATTTCTTTCAGATTTTCAGTTGATCTTACATTGTCTTTGGTAAGTTTTTGAATTAACTGAGAATAAAAACTTTTCTATTTGACAGTTTTTATGTTTGCATTCATTTATTAAAAATAAGCCAGAAGCTTTAAAATTAACAAATTGAATAGATGTCATTCACCTTTATGAAGCAGCCTCTTATTACATTAAACATGCCTGGAATCAATGAAGTGTCATCCTTCTACCTGTTGATATCTCAAATCCATACTAAATTTTGCAAATGTGTTGTAACAATTTCGTCTAATTTTTATTACAGAAGGAAAATTATTGTAAAATACATTGTTAGGTTAATCTACAAAGCCAAATATATTCATACATTTAAAGGATAGTCCAATTTATATTTTTAAATTATTTTATCCTGGCCCACCTCAGATAAATTTTCCGCTAATGCTATTAACAAATTACTAATATATCACATTTGTTTTATTTAAGATCTGCCCTTATAAGTTATTTATTACAATTTTTATATGTTGACACCCAGCACTGGCAGCCACCATTTGCACCTGATCCAGACACTTACATGTTTACACCAAGGATTCAAAAGCTCAATGAATTAGAGGTGTGCAATATTTATTTGATAAATATTTTTTAAAAATTGTCATAATTCGTTGACAAAAAAAAGAGTCCTTGATATATCTATCTTCTTTGACCATAATTATTTTAGGCTAAATCTCGAATAAAACTTCATTTTCTCAACCATTTGACAAAGTTCTGGCATTTACAGGTAATTGGGTTATTTTATTTTTTTACAGCTCATTCACTTGTAACATAATTGGAAATTTTTTTAAATAGTTCAATGTTTTTAAACAAAAATAAATTAATCACATTTTAATCCAATTGCAACATTCAAAAAATATTTTGTTCATTTAATTTAATTTTTAACTAATTTGGTTATGACGAAATGAGATAAGGGATTTTGTTCCGGCAATTTAAATATTAACAAATTTGCTATGATGTAGTGAGTGAATTTAAAAAATAGTTATATTTTTATAACTGAATACATACATTCAACCAATCAAATTTTTAAATATTTTTTAAATTAATAAGTATGTACAGGTTTTTTAATTTTGAATTATGTTTTTTTTTTACTAATTTTTATCCAGCACAATCCATTGAAAATACCTTTCATTGAAAACAAACATTTGGACTTGTACCACTTAAGAAAGGTTCCATTCTTTTTGTAATTAGCTGAATTGCAACATATTGTTTGTTATGCATTATTTTTGCAGCTAAACAATTTTATTAAACATATCTAGTCAAAATTATTTCACCCAAATTCAAATTTTTAATATCTTCATTATTCTATCATATATCAAAGAATATATCTTATTATATCGCATTCATATATATATATATAATATATATATAATATTTATATATATTTATATTATATATATATATATATATATATATATAATATTTTGAGACACAGAATGAAGAGCATTACAAAAATAATATATGAAACTGATAACTTGTCATTACACTGTCACAAGTTTGTGCACGAGAGAGATGGCTTCCACAAGGTCACTTATGACTTCAAGTGGAAAGAAATTGCCCAACAACTCGGATACTCAACGACACCTGAGGTCACTAACTCTCTCAAGAATTATTACTTCAAACTTTTACTGCCATATGACGTCTTCCTTGCTGGGACTCCTGACCTCAATGTACAAGTCAGATGCTTTTTACTTTTTTATTTTTCTTTATAATCTTATTAAGAGTCAATATTAATTTATTATTAAGTTTGCTAGAATTTAACAGTTATTTTTTTATTTTAATATTTATCTTGTATTCATTTTTTAAAAATGATAAGGCAAAGCACCAAGAGAATGTTGATACGAAAAAAGAAGTGGCCGATGCAGAAAATTTGCATGTGAAGATGGAACTGTCTGAAGCTGAGGGCAGTAATAAGCACAGCAACCCCAATAGTAGCATCGAAGTTGACACAAGCAAATGTGAGAGCTTAAAATTAGAAAATGAATTATCATCTAAGAAGAAATGTCACGAATTGAAGAAGCTTCAGTTCTATGGACCTGGTCCCAAAACTGCTCTGCCCGATGCAATGCCGGTCAATGATATCTATGGTTGGTCAACATATTTGCAATCATATTAATGCTAAAATATTGATTTTGTGTTTTAGTAGTGTCAAAATTTGCATCGACATTTCAACAAAAATCAAAATTAAACTTAAAAAGAAATTGGTTATAAAGTTGTGAACGGTGAAACGTTTTTGAAGAATTTGTAAAATTTACAGTAAAAAAGAAAAGCTTCAGAAAATTGCAACCTTTTCTCGTCCGCATTTTAGATCATTTTACATGTTCACTTTCTTGTGCATAATTTATACTCAACTCAGTCTTACACTTCCCAGTCACATCACCTCTAAATCTCTACTTCTTGATCTACTTCATTCATGCAGTTCTTCCTATCTCAGTTGCATTGCGCCTCAAGGAAACATTAAATTTGAAATTACACTGAGTATATGTATTGTATATTGTGTTAACAGTTTTGAAATAACTTGAAATTATTTGATTTTTAAATTAATTTAGGGGTTCCGTTAATCTATTACCATTTAGCATGTATTCAAAAACGCTGCTTGTGTGTTGTCGATTCCTCTGGGCCTAGAAAGGGTGCAATAGATTTTTAAACTTTATTTTTATTGTTTATTCAGATAATCTAGCAAACAGCATTACATCTTGCAAACGAACAAGACCCAAATCAAAAGATGGAAAGGTTGCGGTTTCATTTCAATATTTTATATATTTGTTATTCTAACTGGTGAAGTATTGGATGAAATAATTATTGTGATTGAACCAACCAAATGGATTAAATTGTAATTTGTTGATGAATCATATTTCTATTGATGTTATAGAATTTAAAATAACATTCAGGCTAGAGGTCAATAAACAACTGTGCTTTAAAATTATTTAAAAATTTTGTTTAATTATCAGAATATAATTTTTTTAAATTTCTTACTATTTTTTAATTTTCATCAGTTTTTGTATAAATTTATTTTGGGTTTGAGTTTTATTTGATAAATCGTAAAAAGGCTAAAAATATTCCTTGTGTTTCCTTGTGAATGATTTTATTTTTATTATTATCATTATTATTATTATTATCATTGTCATTATCATCATTATTATTATCATTATTATTGTCATTATCGTTATTATTTTGCTTATATATGAAATAAACTTCTTGAATTGATGCAGATAAATGCCAACATTAAAATTGATTAATAGATCAGAAAATCTAAAACAATGAATACTTGTAGTGGATATTATTAAACTTTTTACAATATTTCCTCCTTAAGCTGTCGTATCTAGAATGAAATGATTTATTTCAATATCATTTTTTAATATGACAGAACATTGATTTGTATGACGATTTTTGTTTAAATTTGAAATTTTTTAAATAAAAAGTTGTGTGATTCTATAAATATTTGCTACTTATTTTTAAAACTGAACAGCTGTCGGACAGCAGTGCTGGCAATGTGTGCATGTCCTGCGGAGAGCCGTGTCAGTCGAACATCAGTGAGTCCATCTGCTGCAGTGTGTGTGCAGGTTTGTTCCACCATGCTTGCCTCATTCTTCCTCTTCGAGAGTCAAGCAGGAAGTCTTGGAGGTGTCCATTCTGCATTGCAAAGGTTAGACTATATCAGCGATAATATTTACATATTCATGTTTCCATATATTACCGTTATTGTAACAATAGACAGAAAAGGTTTTAAGTTCAAATCATTTGTTATTATTCTTTTTTATTTCAAAAAGTACAAAAGCCATTTTTTTATTTGTGTTTTCGCGCATGTCTTATCACAACTGATGAATCAGTTGTGCACAGCTGAACTTTTTGACATTCAGTTGTGTCTTTAATTGTTTAGCAGAATGATGTTTCGGACTTTTCACTTTTTACAAATTTCTATTTCATTTATTCTGGATTGTTACTGTAAAACTTTATATTTGAATTTTCACTGTCACACTAACAGTTATTTCTGTAGTAGGTGCACCTTATTTTATTACATTTAACTCCTATTTAACACATTTGATTCATTACACTTTCACGTCTGTGTAGGTACATGGCATTTTTTATTTGCATTTGCAGTTTGAAATTTTTTCTATTGGAAGCTTAGTTCTAACTTTATTTGAAATTGATTAATATTATTTCATAATATTTTCTTGCCTGCATAGTTGAAAGTATGTTTTTGACATATTTTTAATTGACTACAACACAACTTGTTGAACTAGGAGTGCAAACGACCGATGCCCTCATTTGGGTTTGAACAGTCACAATGCGAGTACTCCCTCAAGACATATGGACTCATGGCTGACAAGTTCAAATCAGATTATTTCAAAATGTCGTGTCATGTTAGTTATTTTTATTTTGTTCTATTTTTATTTTTTCAATAGCCCAATAATCACCACACTCACTGTTATTACAATCACATTACATTCATCATTATCGTCATAATGAACATTGTTTATAACATTGTCATAATGAACTCTGCAACAATTTTCAGCTTGTACCCTGTTCAGTAGTGGAACAAGAGTTTTGGAGCCTGGTGAATTGTTTGGAGAAAGATGTGGTTGTGGAGTATGGAGCTGACATCCACACCTTGGAGTTTGGAAGTGGGTTCCCGACAATTAAAAACCAACATCTCATTGAAGACGAAGACAAAGTTAGTAGATAGATTAATGACAAAGCAATTAAAAGACGATAGCTATGCTAATTGGCGTAGAAATTTTTTTAAAAATTGTTCAATTACTCAACTGATGAATAAAATTTAAAAAATCAATGTTCACGTTAATGTTACTTTTCAGATTTATATAACGAGTCCTTGGAACTTGAACAACCTTCCAAATTTGGAGCATTCCCTCCTGAAATACATCAATGTTGACATTAATGGCATGAAGGTACTGTCGATTGTCATGATGGTAGCGGAATGGTGCCAGTGTGATGAAAATAGAAATGATGCATACCTTGTTCAGTCGAGGGCATTAGTTGCATGTTCTGTTGTTTTGTGTTTATCCATTTGACTGCTGCTTCAATCTTTCTCCATTTGTAAATGCATCCTCTTAAACGTTGAATTTTTTGGTATACTGATACATTCAAGTTCAAGATATTCAAAAACAATAACAATTTTTTCAAGATTTGTACTAAGACCAGCTGAAGTAAGTTATATCACTTGATTTAATTGCAGGTACCTTGGGTTTATGTAGGGATGTGTTTTTCTAGTTTTGCTTGGCATATTGAAGACCATTGGAGCTACTCAGTTAATTACATGCATTGGTAAGTTTATGAAAATGTGATTGTTACCAGTATATAAATTAATAACGTTACATAAACTTTCTTGTTGTCGCTCATTGCATGTGTATATTTAAAAGTTGTATCGTTATATATTATTACTTCTCGTTTGATCACTGTTCTCCTAATTTGCATACAAATATATCAACAAACCTCACACACAAAATCACCACGTGATCGCACAGGGGTGAGCCAAAGACATGGTATGGCGTACCAGGATCAAGTGCCTCCCACCTTGAGGACTGCATGAGTAAAAATGCACCTGAACTTTTTGCCCAATTCCCCGATCTGCTCCATCAACTGACCACCATCATGAACCCGACTGTTCTGCAGAAATCTGGAGTGCCGGTAAGGAAAATTAGATTACCTTGTTCTAAAAATGGATATTATGACGTTGTAATTGTGTGGCAATGATAAAAAAGAAGATGAAAATGGTAGATATCGTTGATAAATGAATTGATGTAGAGCGGGATGACGGTACCTTGGTGAGTTTATCTTAGTCGGCTGATCTGGTAAATAAAAATGCTAATGGTTAATAAGACAACGGTGTAGAAGTGGTTTGCATCTAACATGGAAATGTATTCATTAATATTTTTGACTATGAACTCGTGTTAGATATATCGGACCGACCAGCATGCAGGCGAATTTGTGATAACCTTCCCAAGATCCTACCACTCTGGTTTCAATCAGGGCTACAACTGTGCTGAGGCTGTCAACTTTTGTACCGCTGATTGGGTTAGTGGGTAGTTAATGATAGTCGCTTGTTTTGGTTGTCAAGTTTTTGATTTTTTGAGAAATTTATAATTTGTATTTTTGCTTCTTAACTCATGACCTCTTTTTAAATTCAACATTTCTTTACACAAAACCCATGCTTTACACTACCATATTATGTTTGCTCAACTCATTTTGTTATGAAATGTGATTTAGCTTTGTTTTTTTTTATTCCAATCATGCCTTTGATGTTGATGATGACGATGATGATGATATTGATAATAATAATAATAATAATCACAGTTATCTAATGACTATGATGGTGATGAATATGGCAGTCATAATAACTACCAATGCTAGTTTTAGAATAACTGATTGATCCTTCCTGCAACAGCTACCATTTGGACATGGGTGCATAGAGAATTATCGTTTGCACAAAAGGCAGTGCGTGTTCTCAAATGATGAATTTGTTTTCAACATTCTGGCCCATGTGAATGAGTTGACACAGGAGTGTTTGTATGCATTGTATCAAATACTCGTGGACATCGTTAAGAAGGAGAAAGAGATGAGAGAACAAGTGAAGCAGGAGGTGAGGTTTTGGGATGGTGGGATGGTTTATAACGGGAGTGTCAAGTTGTTGGTTTTTTTTTATATTTCTTGCAGTAATAATGATGACTGTTAGCTTGCAGAAATCATTGGCTAAATAAGTAAATAGGTTGAAAATTTAAAAATAGTAATTAAAAGTCAGCAGATAGCTTAAATTCAATTATGAGGCATGCAACGTTTCAGTTTGCTTCGATCACAGCAGACTAGAAACTTCTGATTCTTGGTGATAAGATGTAATATAATATAATGGGATATAATGCTCAAAGTGCACTGACGTATTTTCTTGTTTCATATTTTTTCTAGCAGCACAACAATTTAACATTGCAGGGCATCACGTCCTCACAGCAAGAATCTTTTGAGCTTCTCTCAGACGATGATCGACAGTGTGAGTACTGCAAAACAACATGCTTCCTATCTGCTGTTACGTGCAATTGTACACGTGAGTTTGTTGTTATTTTTTTTTCTATTTATCTAACGACAACCAAAGTGGTTTTTAGTTTCATTTGAAATGTGTAATCATCATTGAAACCCACGCAAAAGTTTCAAAGAGGGATTTGCTTCAGATTATCTCCACCTATTTTAAAAATTTAGTGAGAAACAGCTCAATGTTGTTACTTTGGTATTCTGGGCTAAATTAAAAATTGTATTTTTTCTAATAAAAAATTTATACTTTTTCATAGATTTTTGCTTGAGCATGTGATGGTTACAACTTTTTCAAGTTAGATTAAGCAACTTACGGTGCAAACTAACTTTGCACAGATATACAACAACAACAACAACACACGTTTAGACGGCATTTTCCCCGAGATCGGGGGTTGCCGTTTGGCTACCTATGATGAAACCGAAATACCCCTCGACTCCATCCACATCTGTCACTCGCCTCAGTATCACGCAACCCCGCTTTCACCCTGTCCTTCTCCACCTGCTCTCTCCATCCCAATCGCGGACGACCCCTTCCTACCACTCCTTCAACCTCGAACTCCAACGCTCGCCTAATCCCGACCCTTTCATCCCTTCTCAACACATGTCCATACCACCGCAATCTCGATCTCCTTATCAATGTCACAATGTCCTCATTCAGTCCCATCATTGACATCAGCTCTGTACTACTCCTCCTATCCTTCACTTTAACCCCACACATCATCCTCACCATAGCTCTTTCAGCCCTCTGCAGTACACTTTCCTCCTCTCTCCTCAACACCCAAGTTTCACCACCATATATCATCGCTGCTCTCACACATGCTTTATATACCCTCCCTTTCATCTTCACTGACCATTTCTTTCCACACAATACCCCACCCAGTTCCCTAAATTTCATCCATCCCACACGAACTCTAGCCGTAACTGCGCTCAAACATCCTCCATCCGCATCAGCT